ACTAGTTTTTGGTGAGAAACGGGAAGTTGAAATTCTAAAGGGGTGTTTCTTGCCCACATAGCAATTTAAAAATTTTAAATTTAGTTCCTAAGTATGGGTGATCCTTAGTTATGGGCACGCGAAATTTCTGGCGAAAAAATTGCTAACTGGGGAATCAGGTAAGCTAAGAAATTGAAATTTTGAGATGTTTTCTGTCCACGTGGGATCTGAAGATTTCGTCCAATTCTCAAGGATGCTTGCTTTTCACGTGTGGACATATGAAGTTTCGGCGGAAAAATTTGCTAACTCGGGAACCACGACAATCAGGTCATTTTCAGTGAACGACCGGCCATCAGAAATTATCCATTTTTTTCGTGCAAAATTTGCGGTATTTTACGGACAGTTGTAAAGCAATAACTATTCAAACAGTTAACGCCTTCATTGCTTCAAGTTTAGCATAAAAATGCATGACCGTGCCGGTAAACCTGGTACGTCGCAACTTAGATTCTAATAGATAGAGGCATATGAAAGTAATTCGACCGACAATATGTGCTGTCGGAAGTCATCCGCTGCGAGGGCTGTTGTCGATGTCAGTCTTTCGAGGATTGTTTGCAAATAAGCTAATGATGAGTCTATCTGCCTGGAATGCGCTAGTACCAGTTTACTGTCGAAACGAATGAGGGGTTGATTATCCCAGTAGCGAATCGGAATCGCTCGAACTTCTTCACAGCAGCAGCGCTGTTTGCCAGTTTGCGCGTTCAAAATCATCAGAGTGGAAAAAAACGTACAAAATCAGGTCAGGAGGTGTATGCTTTAGTCAAGACAGCGGTGCAATATTTTTAACAGATATGGGCGAAAAACTAGGCGAAATATCAATTTTAAGTTGCGGAACTGTGTTAAAAACGAAGACTGGTGAATGCGGAGGGAGTAAGGCAACAGTGAAATCCCGGAAAAAAATACCGTAGTTTAAGCATAGAGAGGCGAAAAGACAGAAACGAATAACCGTATTGGTCAAGCGCTGCTCGCTCGCTCTCCCTCCTGCCAGTTGAATACGTAACTGATTTGTTCCACACGTTTATTGTATATGTCTGCGTGTTTGTGTGTGTGTTTGTCAGTGTGTTCATGTATGTCAGTGTGTATGTATGTCAGTGTAAGTAGGTGTATCTGTGTGTATGTGAAGCAGCGAGCAATGGCGGAGTGTTATCACTGAAAGCCGAAAAGCTAAAATGTAAATGTGCGCACTCAGCAGCAGCAGCAGTAGGGGGAGGCGAATTCCAGAGCATCCAAGCGGCATGCATTTTCGTTTCCGGACGGGGCTTCCCGTTACCCGCTGCAGTTGCTGCTGCTTCCTGGGCAATAGGCATTGTGGGCATCGGCAGCTGCTAATGCTGGCGCACTCCGTGTAGGCCTAGTTGGGCTTGGCCCATGCATGCACAGAATTAGCCAGAAGGAGCGGCAGTGCGTGCCTCTCTCTGACCACTGTAGCGCTGGCCGACAGCCCAGCCAACCTCCATTGCATTATTGATGCCGTCGCCACTGCTGCTGCTACTGCTAATAAACCTGATTTTCTAAGGATTCAACGAGCGAAGTTGCTGCAACACAACCGGTGGCGAATCTGCCCTGAACAGGTGCTGCTGCTGCTACTGCTGCCGCTGCTAATCTTGGCCCTGGCAAATGGGTATAAAGAGCTCGAAGCCGAAGCTCTCCAAAGAAGATCTCGACTTCCTGAAAAAGAACACGAGCTTCACCGAGGAACAGATCAAGGAATGGTACAAAGGCTTCGTGGTTAGTGTTTTTCTCCGGCCTGCTAACCAGCATCCTATCTCCTCCAGTAAGATTATCGCAGAAGTGGTGTTTCTCTTCTTCGGTATCTTTGAATTCCAAGGGCCGCTAATGTGCCCGATGCCTTCGTCAAGATGGTTTCCTCATTTTTAAAAGCCATTTTTAATGGCTTTTGGCGGCATTTCCGCCACACATCTCCAGCGTCTTTACTAGTAGGCCCTCGTATTTTCGCCGTAAGATCCTATTCTTTTTTAGTAGTTAGGAGTTTAGATAACGTACGGCTTCAAGCACATTGAATTTACCACCTTTTGGCTCGTGCTGTAGACATGCCTCCATCATTTGTGGTTCGCATAACTGGCTTTATTCGCATTTCTACATGCCCTACTAGGCTGCACTTCATTCTCACTAGATTTTCCGAACCGAATTCGGTGGCCCACTCAAACAATTTGGTGCGCGGTCGCAGGAGGGTATTAAACTCTTTGCGATAAAACGGTCTTACGTCTCTCTGATAACCACTCCTTCTCCACTCGGCATATCATGTTCTGTTAAATTTGATAATTGCTGGTGAAATGCGCTGTCCCGGTGGGCAATCCGTGCATTTACCCTCCTCGTACGCTTTTTACACGGCGTCGGCTTTCTCTTTATTTAGCTAACTGGCCGCTAGATTTTAATTTCGGCGGTTTTATGTCGTTTTCGTCCTTCCGTTCCCCTTCCTCTGCTGCGCTTTCCCGTAGGCATTGTGGAGAGGGCCCTATCAGCTGACGTTCTGATCTGCTACTGACAAATAAGTGAATGTCTTATCCGCCGGTTTCTTAAAAAACTGTTCTTTTTTTGTTACTGCCTGCGCATTTCTTGCCATTTGCACAGGGCGATGAACCTGATTCACTGGGCTATCTTGAAGATCGAAGAGCTTGGCATAGTTGCGTTTGCATGTGGGAGCATCGTAGTAATATCACTAACAAGAAAATTCTGTACAGATAATCCGAGCGGCCTTGGTATTTTTGACCCTTGTATTATGAAAATGCAATGAAAATAAGGCTAAAGCAAACGTCAAACGCAGCAGAAAGATCCGTGATGGCATTGCAGACAGTAAAGCAAGTTATTCAGTGACAAAGTCAATGGTTTTTTTTAGAAAAAAAGATCATGAAAAATCAGCAAGTACACTTCGGGCGACATTTTCGTTGAAGGGTGCCCAGTTTTTTGTTTTGTAGGCGCAACGCGGCTTAATTAACCAGATCAAGCCTGACACTGCCTATCGCTGCACTGGCTGAATGGCGTCCATTTTTCGCGCACATGACTCAGATATCTCAGCCGCTGCATTACTTCTGCACGTACGTCATGTAATCGCTGGGTGCCAGTCGCATTTAGGTCATCATCTGAGACTTGTACTGTTGTCCAGTGTGTAGTACATTTGCCCGAAGGTGCAGGTATATGTCAATCATATCTCTGATACCTCAGTCGCCGCAGCCAGTGCTGCTATTGATGAATGAAGGATGTTAGCGAGCTTGCTAATCAGTGGCCAAGGATCTCTCTTCTGGATGTTCATTGCCACCCATCAATCTTGTTTAGCACATTCCGCACTTATTCGCCCACTACCCCTTATTTTCCCCGTCAGTCATCTCAGAATGGACCTCCAACTATCAACGAACGCACTACAGCATTTGTAGAATGTTTCATGAATTCTTGAAAAATCAGCAAAAACTTTCTTCCGTTGCCTAGGTAATTTGCTTGTTTAGTGGAAACAACAGGGATCTTTATAGCTTTCTTCTCTCCTCACTGTTTTTCCGAGTTAAATGAGCCAAATCCCTGTCCCAAGCAGAAAGTCTGTACGAACGAGGTTGGCAGTGACGATCATTTTTCGCGGACTTATTTCTCAGTTGCTTGAAATCTGTCTCAAGATTTCTAATTTGACGGATGTCCTCTTTTTGCTGATCTAAAATGCATAAAGTTATGGCGTTGCCTTGCAGTTGTTTTACTTGCGTGACAGGTGTTCCACTAATGAAGATGGGAGCATGTTTTCCACGGCAAAAATGTTGCTCACGAAATTTATCGAAATGGCACAGTGGCTTTGTGAAAGAAGCTGCTGAACAAATCTTCTGAATAATAAGCTGAAAAGCGCGCACTCAAATTGTGAGCTGATACCGTACTTCAAGTAGTGACAAATGAGGCTTTTGTCTGTGTCTCAGCAAATGGTCGTACCCATTGTTTTTTCTCAAACCACTTAGCCTTGGTTCAGGTTAGTTAGCCTTTTTGTCTGTTTTTTTTTTTTAAATTTCTCAAATTATGCTCCATTTATCAGCTTCCTACATATTAGCACCTCAGCATTCACAATTCCCCTACAGCGCTATCAGTAATAACACTTTCTCAGCAATACCAGCCGATGATTTAGAGATTTCAGTGATTGTTTTCCTGGCTGTTCGGTCATCGAAATGAGCCAGCGACTGACGCTAATACGTAGTCGCTTTCATTCCTAATCTTTTTATTGTAGTGAAATTCAAATCACACTTTGTCCTCTTTTCTTTCGCAACCAAGTGTTTTTACACTTTGATATTTTAGCCAACTGCTTTGTCATTGTCGCTTTTCTTTTCGCCTCTGGTGCAACTTCAAGTTTATTTCAAAATATTCAAAGCTTCAAACTTTACAGCTTCAAAAATTTCTCAACGAAATAAAGGGCGTTCAGACAAGTCTTGCGACCTTACTCGCTGATTTCCTTACGTTCTTTTAGTTCTGCGCAGTCCGCAATCTCTTTTGCCTGCCTGTTGCCATTCTTAGTGCATGGCCAACACAACTCCTCTTTGTGATGTACACTGCTTTAATAACATCACTCACAGCAAACGAAAAGTTGTGCAGTATTTCATCGGAAATGTGCTACAACTTGCTGACAATTAATATGTATCGCTTCATGCTTTGTTCGATCCACTGATCTAACTTCTATTCAGCAAAAGTGGTTTCCCATGTTTCATTTCCATATATCAGAAATGGTAACACAAGAAATGAAGAAAGTCGCTTGCATCAGATTCTATTTTAGTGTAGGAAACGAAGTCTCTTAACTTGATACAAATGATATTGACATTCTGTTCCTCTGTATCAGTCACTGCCAGCGACTTGGGAGGGTATCGTGTGGCGAACTGGTCTTTATTAGGCTGCTGTGGGTAAACTGTGAATATTATTCTGCAGTCCGTTACAACGCGGTCTTATTTTGGAGCAGGAGTCGGTACAAGACCAGATTTCAAGAGTAAATGCTTACATTCCTAGTAACTCTGGCTGGTCTTACCATCCTCACGTTTCGTCTCTCATTCATCCCATCCGTCCCATGCATCTTTATTCTTTTATTAGCAAAAACTTTTACTTTTTAAAGTATGTTTCCTTCTGATCAAGGAAGCCTTGCGCCTTGGTAAGAGGACTCCAAGTAACGTCGTTGCGTTTCTAGTGGTAGCATGGTTCTTCTTTAGTTAAAAGTAGTTATCAAATGCCCTCCGATCATGCATCTTTTCAGTGGACTGTTCCCTAATGAAAATGAAATGCAAAGTAGTACAAAGTGGCTTTTAGGGAGTGGCTTTTAGTACAGAGTGGCTTTCATTTCAGCAAGACTGCCCGAAAGGTCACTTGACGAAGGATCAGTTCATCAAAGTTTATAAAGATTTCTTCCCATCCGGAAGCGCCGAAGGCTTTTGCGAGCATGTCTTCCGGACATTTGACACTGATAACAGTGGCTTTATCGATTTCAAAGAATTTTTGTTGGCAATAAATGTGACAAGCTCGGGTACTCCAGAACAGAAGCTCGAATGGGCATTCAGGATGTATGATATCGATGGTAATGGTACCATTGATGAGAAAGAAATGATCAAAATTATAGAGGTTCGTTCCTTCACAAAATTGTCTCACATATATCTATTCGACGGGTTCTCTTTACAAAAAATCTTTCATTTCGCTTTGCTGGTTTTCTTTTGACCGAAAAATCGTTTTCTTTTTTGAGGTATGAAAAAAGGAAAAGGTTGAAAAGGATAGTAAATTGAGAGGCATATGTTTTCAACTTTTCTAGCAGTCTTGTTGTGCAAAGGGTATTATCCATACATCTTTTATCGTTTCATCTCTTCACTGGTGTTTTGCAAACACAGGATCCCAGTTTTATGAGATTTGGAAGAATTATTTTTTATTGCACAACTCATAGTTTTCATCATGTCCTAAATGATCGTTGGAGCAGCAAAATGTGCCCCCATAATTTTATGGTGAGGCTAGGGCCCCTACCTTTCATTTCGTTTGTATTTTTTGCTTTAACTGCAAAGCGATGCAGAGCCTTGCTCATCATCCTCACAACACAGATTATCTCTCAGGATGTGTGGCATTTGCTAAACATATTCCTAACAGTGCCTCAAATGCGTGTAACGATGAAAGAAAAAAGCGCAGGGTGCTGAAATAAAATCTAATTAAGATAGGTGATGGAAACTGCGTGAACCGAAAAATAAAAGTAACTCAAAGCATCGAGATAAAATAGAAGCTAGCAGTTCACTTGTTATCGTTTTTCGCTTTCAGTGGTTTTCATCCGCATAGCTGTACCAAAAAGAGAACCTTAACTTCTTTAGCTGCCAAAACATTTTGGTTCACGGCGATCAGTCGCCAAAAAAAGCAGTGTAGTCGAAAAACTAAAAGATGTGACAACAATTTCCTTAAATTTAATTCGAGCTTAAAACGAGGGACAAGTGTAAGTGACGCATGCACTTTCGTTGGACTACAGTTGTGTGTGTGTTGTCGAATGGTTTTGAGATGATCAAAGCTCTTCCCGAAACGATGATTTATTTTATGAAAAACGGGCCCCCAATGCATTACAACTAATAACTTCCCCCTAGGCGCCGTTCAGCGACAATTTTAGCAAGTATTTCTTAATTTATTACTGAAATGGTTTGCTGTGGATATGATATTCGCACAGCTGCAAGCAAAAAAAACTCATTGCTTGGAAAAAGAAACTTATTTTTTACGCTTCTGAACAGAATTTATTTTTCGGAATAACCTAATTCAGCCCTTCCCGTCACGCATAAATTGCTTTTGCCTAACGCGG